AATTATGATTGACTTAATATTTAAGTGTGCTTCCAGATTCGTTATGAAGTCTGATGATGACAAAGAGAAAGTGGTGGAAAATGTGGAAAATGAGGATGATAACGAGCCACTATCGGGAATCAGTAATGACTCTAATTCACTACGAGGGGTTTCTTCGCTGAAAAGAAGGCGGGAGGAAAGCGAGCCAATTCCACTGAGCAAAAATGAAGAGCAGGAAACCTTACCAAGATGGGTTGCAGGTTTGTGAGGATATGACTACTTTTAAAATTTTGGCCGCTACATCATTAGTGAATCTGATGTTATAATTTTATTTATTCTGATATTCACCGTTGTAGGTGAGTATCGTTTAGATTATTTTGCGTTTTTAAGGCGCGTCTCCTGCAAAATTTGTTACACTCGATGAACTTATGGACATGTCTTCTGCTATGGAGAATATGGCTCTAGTGCACGAAATAGCTGTAAATCCAGATTTTGCAATTCCTGAAACTTCTAATAACCCACTTGAAAGAGCAGTCAAGGACTGTGTTCATAAAATATACTGGGAAAAAATGGCTGAAGATTTGGCAAAGGATCCACCGGACTACAGTAAGGCATTCTCGACACTGCTGGACGTGAAACAAGTAAAAATTTGATTTTGCTTGCTTTATTTGTTTACTTGACTGTTTTTTCCTTCACTTTTTTGTAAGGTTTTTTAAAATAAATTAGAGAGAACCATTTCGTTTGCGTCAGACAACGGGGCCACTCAAAGCAATTTAGTTTTTACGGTTTCTGGCTCAGGAATATAGTTTTTTGGTCACATAACATTCAAATCGTGTACTTTAGCTGAGCGTATTCGAATTTCAGATGATAATGGACCTACTGACTCCTCAACACGTACGTTTGAAAATGGAAATTGACTCGCGTCTTGACGAACAGATCTTGCGACAGCAAGTGGATAAAGACTGCCTGGACTGGCCCCGCTTGTCAGAATATATAATTGATCTCTTAGCACGTCTCTGCGCACCGGTGCGAGATGAAATGGTATCTAAACTCAGGGAGAAGACAGATATTGTGGATATTTTGAGGTATATATTGGGGTTAACAGTTGTCCCTTTTAATCTGAGTTATTTGCTTCGTCCTAAACTAATTTTCTGAAACTACTGTACTTCCTTCTTAGAGGTGTTTGTGAGCTTCTGGAAGTAATGAAAGTTGACATGGCCAACTTTGAAGTTAGACAGAGCAGGCCGATCATTGAAGAGCACTCTGCTGTTTACGAAAGGAATCAGTTTTTCAAAATCCTTAAAAGCGATCCAGGTGACATTCTTTGTTTCAAGAAATGGGGGCTTCAGAATTTTTATTTTTTTAAAATGTTTTGAATGAATATAGATTTGGAACTGCCGGTACTGAATTGGCTTAAACGTCATGTAAGCGATATCGCGAAATCCACTTCTGCAGCTGATTTGTCTGGGCCAGTCATTAAACGAAGGTTTGAGGTAATATTTGATACATGATTTTTTTTGAGCAATATTCCCACTTGACTGTTACCGGCATTCTACAAATTATTTTACGCTGTTTCCCCAACAGTGCTTTCCTCGCAAAAATAACTTCAGTTTATAACCAAGTTCTTCACGTAGTACTTGCTGTGGAAAGAGGATGATGTAAATTTTTAAAAACTGAGGACACTAGCTGGTTCTATAACTATTAGAAAATTGGCTCTAAACGTTTCTGAATTCATTTTAATAATTAGGAGTTAAATAACACAGAGGTCGGAGCAATCATTAGTGAGGCTTATATGGATTTATTAGAATGGGACGAGGCCGAGGCTTATCCTTCGACTCTACTGGCAAGTTTTTTTTTTTTCTGTGAGATTTAGAGAACGGACTTGAATGTAGGCGGCCTCCCATCTCTTAAAGTTGAAAGGGGTACCTGAAAAACAGTCGAACCTTTGCGTTTCCTCTTTATAAATGAAAACACTGGCAACTATGAAACTTTCCAAGTTATAAATTCAACATGGGTGACCAAGTCTTGTTAGCTAGCGTTTAGAAGGCTTCCTTGAGTCAAGGGATGGAAACTAACGGTTACTTGTCAATGAAACTTTTTTGCGGCTTATTTTTAAATAGCCCTTCAGATTGATCGGGCCAGATTTGAGCAACTCGGTGCGAAATACCTACAACTCATCGTGTGTACTGCATGCGTCCTCGTCACATGTATTTCAGCTGGCCAGGATGTTATAGATATTCCTCAGTTTAAGCAGGATCTAAAAGACGAATTGATCGCTATTACCGAAGATATCAGTGTAAAGTCAGCATTTATGTTTCTTGTGTATAATCACCGGCGTCGTTCGACTGTTCACATATTCTTCTGCAGTAGGGAAAGGTGTGTCTGTTTCGCTCATCACTACTGTACAGATTTTTTAGAAACCTCAAAGATCGATTGGAGGCCATGTACGTCCATTGTAATGCAAAACTAAAGAAAATATATGAAGCTAAAGAATCACTTGTTTGGACAGCTGGGAGTTCTGACGGTTTAAGGCTGCAGATAATGTCACTTGAAGATGAAAAACAACCTGTTCGTAGCCTTATGAGTAAGTTTTTGAAATTGATTCTCAGTGCTTTTTTCTATGAAGTTTTAATAATGGCGAAAGAATTGCAGGAGAAAGGATACGTGGCTTTATGCTATCAATGTTGAAGTGTAGTGGGCAGTCAAGTAAACAAAAATTACCAGCTGGCGTTTCGGTGGTTAAAACTGAGTTGAACATGATTACGGCCGCCTTTGTTCGTCTGGCTTCTCACAACAGAAAGACTTTTGGGGTTTATTATGGCGATCTCATCAAAAAACTAATGTCTGTATAAAAACGGTTTTATGTTGTAAATGCTCACATTAATTAAAAATAAACAGGATGATAGTTATAAAATTCTGTTGGGCTAAGCATTAATAGATTACGAAGAAGAGTTATAAGGATTTACCAGTTCCAGTTCCCCTCTCATATTCGGGCGTGTTTTGTTGTTGGAAATAAACTACTGGGCCTCCATAAATTTAGAGTTGGTATACTTTTTGACCTGATGGCAGAGTAATGGGTAGTGATCTGCGCGAAAATAGAGCGTAATTAAGACGGAGAGTCAGCGGAAATGTCTGGATTGGGTGAGATTTAGAGATACGATGCAGTGCTGCTACAGGGCATCAGGCTGACGTTTAATAAACGGTTAAAGTAACTGGTAAACTGAAGAGTGAGATGAGCAAAGCTTATTCGCGGGGTACAGAAAAAAGAATCACTCAAATCTAGCTTTCGAGGCATAATACTGGTTAAGGTTTTCTCTTTTAGCTAGAAGTTCTTCAGTTAGCTCGCCTCGAGCCTCCATTCTCCTCCAGGTAAACCGGTTTATAGGATGCTCACTTCCCATTACGCATCGCATAACAATATTGTAACTGCAAAATCAGAAGAATGTTTTTTTTTTTTCAGTGAAAAACAACTAAAGTAAAAAAAACGAAAAAGTTAAGTTACGCACTTTCGTTACATTCTACACCAACCCAGAATCTGTTTCCATTTATTCATAAAACAATAAAGCAGTTTTGAGGGGAAAAAAAACATCTATTAGGCACGAAATATGTGGGAAGTAAAAGTAGTTTGCAGACAAATCCAACCTTCCAATATATAGAGCAAGAGCAAGAAGTGCACGACCAGAATTTGTTGACGTCAACCGTCTACTATAGTATTTTGTATTCAGCCAGAATCGGCTATGCCAAAACCTCCGCTTTTCCGCTACTGGAGTATAAGTCCGTCTTTCATTATCCATCTGAGAACTTCAAATGCAGTAGTCTTGATTGGTGGAAAATTACCTAGGATATAAGCAAGAGGATTAATTTTAATTGCTCTTCTACAGATAAATAGCTACTGCGCAAACACCATGTTTATCCAACAACGATTTGACTTATAACAGTCCAAAAGCTGTAGATCTGATACCACTATGACTTAAAAAAAAAAAAAAATGAAATATGGTTTTGTTGATTACCGTTGTTCAATACCAATTCTTTTTGAATAGCAATCAAAAATTAGATCATAAACAATAATTCCTAAGCAACGAAACAAAGTAAGCAAATAAATATAAATTAACTAAATAAAAGTTTCTCAAGTAGCTATTCGCTACATTTAAAAAACGTCTTCCAAACATGCTGTGATCATCTCATGCTTAAATCGGTTTAACTCTTAGCTTAAATCTAAACAATAGATAAAACCGTTAACACATAGTTTTTTCTCAAAAAGTTTCTAAAAACAAGTGGTTCTAGACAAGTCTACTCAGTTTTAATATAAATTTTCATGAAATCATGAGTGACTGGTTAAAAACCCAAAAGGAAACTTAAAAACCTAGGATTTGTTCAACAAATCAGGCCAAAACTAATACCCTTTATTAAACCATGAATCCAGAAATTATGAACCAAAGTTAAAACCGCAGTTTGGATAATTGCCAAAACGATTTTAAATGTTCATAACAGCTTCATGTCTACGGCTGCGCTCACAGCCGCTGTATCGCACCAAAAATTTCATGTGCTGTTTGGTAGAATTTTCAAGTAGTATCTCTTGGCATACTGGCGATTAATTGATAAGTTCTCGGCACAGATACCTTTGTTCTTAATTTTTTGATACAGAGATATTGGAATGAAAGTATCTGCAAGCTGAACTGCGTAAATATCGCTATAGTTGTGTGGTATGGCGGTTCTAAGCATTGGCGGTTAATTATAAGCTGTGTCAATGGGTCTGCAGTTGCCAACCGTGTGTAGTGTTCCAACTGTAATGGCTGTCGTGCACAAATGACGAGGGTTTTGGAAGATAACGAGTAAATCAATCTAATAATCTTTGAAATTTTTATACGGTTTTGTGAAATTTGTTAATTTGCTTTAAACAGTGCTATTTTACAATATGCTTATCTGATTTCATTCTGCTTCTGTAGCATCACTTGTTATTCTGTACGTAATTGATTGTTGTTTTTCATACGCTTCAAGAACGAAACGTTCACATTTTGTAACTTTTTATTTTTTTTATTTTTTATAGACTTAAGTTTTTGATGGGTAACTTAGAAGACTTTATTCATAGATTTTTTTATCTAAATGGGACAAAAAAAATCTGTTTTTAAGGTATTGTTTTGCGCTTCAACATTTTTCACTCTGTATAATCTCAATTTGACAGAACTATTACGGCTTTTAATGAGTATTTTATTGGCTGGATGTGTTTTCTTATCTGTCTTAGTTTTAATCTTTGTTAAAAACTGTTTAGTTGGCTTCAGTTTTTCTAGCGTTTTATTTAGGCTCCTCTCTGACTGAGTAAGCTGTATTAATTATTTTTTATTTGATGTTCAACACCCATTAGAGTTTTGCGATTCTGTTGACTCACTTTCCCGAACTGCCTAGGTCTTTTTATATTGATGTTACTTTCGCTTGTTATTGACAACTGTTTCAATATAAATATGAATCTATATATATATAGATTATATATATAGCTGTCGGCGGGACTGTTAAATCTGGTAACGGAAAGGTTGCACATAAACATGAAAAAAATGTAGAAGTTTACGTGTATAGATGAAAAAGTGATAAGGTTGAAATGGTTTCTTACCGAAAAGATACTTGTTATTTTTCTTTTTTTTTTCTTTTTTTTAGGGTTTTGAACAGTTTACGTGTATCTCTTATTCGCATTATGAAAAAACATTTTTTAAAAAGCGAGATTGCCATTTAAAAATTTGTTTTCGAATAGTTCTTTTTTGGTTTCTACTTTTACTTTGAATAGGCGAGAAAAAGGTGTGGCATTAGTAAATTTGCTTCACAGATGTCTAAAGTTGTGTTGATAAATAGGGCATTATCACGTATAGAGCTATTAAAGTTTCTTAGGTGTTAGTTTATGGTACGAATTTTTCCTGTTGTGGAAGTTGTTAAAATAGTTGTTGCATTTTCGCTGTAATCTGCTTCACAAAAAATTTAGGGTCATTTCCTGTCAAATCACGCAGTTGAATCGATATCTCAAAATTTTCTTTTTATTTTTTTACTAGTCAATAGAGTCTGGTTTCGAAGTTGAAAAGCGGAGGGAAGGTCGGGAATATAGAATCATCAGCCAGATAATACTTTATCGTAGTTCAAAAATTTTCCGATTCTTGTCGGTTCACACCTTTCGTGTTGCTTGTCTGCTTGTAACATTAGCTTGTTTTAGATTCAAAAAAAAAAAAA